GACAGCCCCCCTCGGCCCTTCTCGCCGGCCCGATCAGAGCCAAGGCAAACACTGGCACCACAACGGAAAGGGCGGGCCGCCGAGGACGCCGACGGGGACGGCGACGAGGACGGCGACGAGGACGGCGACGAGGATGGCGACGAGGACGGCGACGATCCTCGCCCCAATCCGCCACGCCATCAAGATTGCGGCCCGGACGGCCACGTCCTTGGGCGGGAACGAAAAGAAAAACAGGTTGACTTTGGTGCAGTTGTTGCTCGAGTTCGGCGGCTCGGCCCTCCGTTCGGCCCCACGCCCACGACGCGGTGCGTCTCTGCGAGCGCGGCCGGGGCACGCCGACGACGCCAGCCCCGATGTGGGTCAGTCCGCCGGCCCCGCCGGCCCCGCTGGCTTGGCCGCTCAGCCAATCTGCCTAATTCTGTAATTACGGAATGTTCCGCTGTTAGTTGGCGAGCGGGCTGCATCGGACAACGCCCCCTCACTGCATGTCGCACCCCTCCCCCCTCCCGCCGGACATCGAGCCCTTGTGTTACATTTAATTAAATTCTTCCCCCATAAGACACGCGGTAAGACACGCGGCGGCGCGCACGTGACACGCGGTGGGTGGCGTGACTCGGGAAGCGGCGAGGTATGCGGCGTGCCGTGCGCACGGACAGGCGCAGACGTTTTTAATGAGGTTTTTCGGTCAGTTACTCTATTTAATGAGAAATGTAAAACCGTGAGCGTTGGGGGCGTACGTACCCCCGGACGAATCGCCACCAAAAACAGTTTAACACAAAATGTATTCAGAGTAACAGAAGTAAAATGAACACTATAAAGAAAATTTCAGCGAAAGAGGGCACCCCGGCGAACCGGCCCTCTTCCCCGCTGGCTTGGTGGACCAGTGGTTCCCCCATCTCATCACAGGAGCAACCTCAGAGTTAAACCGCAGTGGCCCCGTCATTGGTCACGTCATCTGTGATGTGGAGGAGTCCTCTCATAGAAGGCCAGGCTGCCACCTTTCCCAGTAGTCGGGTTTCGTTCCCGGCCCCCTTCCCACTCAGGGGCCATGCTACTGGTACTCAGGAGTCTGCGTCACCCTGCCCAGCAGCGGAACCACTGGGCTATGAGAGGCACACTGAACGCCGCCCGATTTTGTTTACTTGAACCGCCTTCTTGCGATGCAAGCTTGGTCAAAATATTCTTTACGGTGCTGGGTATCGAACCCCGGACCCCGCAGTCGGGACCCGACGCCTCTGCGATCTCGGCCACCTCGGCCCATGGGTGACGATGTGCGAAGGGGACCATTTGAAGCCGCTGGTCGGAACCGTATAGTCAGACAAAAAGAGCGGGAAGCTAGTATTCGATCGCCCGATCCGAGTATAGGAATCGGAGATCTCAACACCTTCGGCCACCGTGGCTCACCGGGTGAACCGAGTGGCGCAGCGGGCCCAAACGGCACCGGGAAAGCCACTCCTAAAATGTAAAGGATTGCAGGGAGTCGAACCCCAGCCCCTGAAGTTGCGGATCAACGCCTCTGCGCGCTCAGCCGCCGCTGTTTCCGAAATGTATGTCCCACTTCTGGCTTCACACTGTGGCATCCCGAGGAAATCAAGACCACGCGCAGGGGCCAGGGTTCGACTCCCTGCAATTCTTTACATTTAGGAGTGGCTTTCCCGGTACGGTTTGGTCCCGCTGCGCCACTCGGCTTACCCGGCGAGCCACGGTGGCCGAAGGTGTTGAGATCTCCGATTCCTATACTCGGATCGGGCGATCGAATACTAGCTTCCCGCTCTTTTTGTCTGACTATACGGTTCCGACCAGCGGCTTCAAATGGTCCCCTTCGCACATCGTCACCCATGGGCCGAGGTGGCCGAGAGCGCAGAGGCGTCGGGTCCCGACTGCGGGGTCCGGGGTTCGATACCCAGCACCGTAAAGAATATTTTGACCAAGCTTGCATCGCAAGAAGGCGGTTCAAGTAAACAAAATCGGGCGGCGTTCAGTGTGCCTCTCATAGCCCAGTGGTTCCGCTGCTGGGCAGGGTGACGCAGACTCCTGAGTACCAGTAGCATGGCCCCTGAGTGGGAAGGGGGCCGGGAACGAAACCCGACTACTGGGAAAGGTGGCAGCCTGGCCTACTATGAGAGGACTCCTCCACATCACAGATGACGTGACCAATGACGGGGCCACTGCGGTTTAACTCTGAGGTTGCTCCTGTGATGAGATGGGGGAACCACTGGTCCACCAAGCCAGCGGGGAAGAGGGCCGGTTCGCCGGGGTGCCCTCTTTCGCTGAAATTTTCTTTATAGTGTTCATTTTACTTCTGTTACTCTGAATACATTTTGTGTTAAAATGTCTTTGGATTGTCCTGCATCCAGTCTTGATTGACATAGAGAGTGAGCCGCGGGTGTTTAGATCAATTAAGCGCCGCCGAGTGGCTCTCTAGCTGCAGCCTGACCGCGTGGCGGTGTAAGTGGGTCGGACAAAACGGAGGTCGGTCAAAATTTTCAGCCGATTCACGGGCAAGGGAAATTTGGACAGGTCGGACAAAAGAAGGTCGGACAAACGATGAGCACCGTCGTTGAACCCCTCATTTTATAATTTTGTTTAAATTTTTTTTTCTGGATTTTACTGTGAAGGCCTTTTGCGGCGTGCCCGAGTCCAGAGCCGCCTGGACCCCCTGCCTGGACCGCGGCCTGGATGGAGCTTTATCCGGAGGACGCGTCGCCCTCATTATCATATCAGCCAGCACCGCTAGCGGATGCAAAATATTCCGCGCTCTTATTTTTTTTCTGCATGGAAAAAAGAGGGAGAATGTCTAGATGTTGGAGCCAAAATGCAAACAGACAAAAAAAAAACAATTTTTTTTCAACATTTTTTTAAATTTGCTGTCTTTAATCTAATGAGTTTAACAGCCATAATGCTTTATTAAGACGATTTTGACCGATTTTCCCGCATTATCACGAGACAAGACTTTCAGAAATTTCTTCATGTAATTGGAAAATAAATAGAAAGTGGCGCTGGCGGCGCTGGAATCAATAGATCATCGCTTTAGCGGGAGCACCTGCAATTAAGTTAACACGAGGCAAGTTCCTGTTTTTTTCTTCTTTTTGGTGGCTGTCCGGACTAACGAGGCTGGCCGACGGAACTGCGCAAAACCCACGCGTTAATTACCAGCGGGTGCTCCACCTTTCTGTAAACGGCAGCAAAATTACATGGCGTTAATGAAAATTATCGGCTACCCGTCGGAAAGTTAATTGGGATAGGCAATGGAGAGGGAGCGACGGTAGGGTGATGGTGCGGCTGGCGGGTGCGCCGGCAGTGGCGAGGGCAGTGAGGGCAGCAAGGCGGTGCTGCTAACGCGTTTTCCGTGTCCCCTTCGGCCCGGGGCCCTTCGGGGCGCCTGGCCCTTCGGCTCGTCGGGACGCCCTGGCGGTCGGCGTCGGCATCACTCAGCGCCGCGCGCCGCCACCCAGGGCCGCCGACGGTGTGCTGAGTACCTAGAACCAGTGGACCAGGGCTAGATGTCCTCCGCATCCCAGGGTCCCCGGTGCGGTCGCCGGCGTGGTCCCCGGGGTTGCCGACGGCTGCCAACGGCCCGGGCTAAGTGGACGGCGGTGTCCGGCTCCGCGATGATCGTAAAATGTAACGCGCGTGGGCAGCGCTAGCGGCCAGCACCTCGGCAGCACTAGCCTCGCCTCACCGCCCCGCGGGGGGCTCGGCCGGGCACGGCGCTCATTCCCTGAATGCCCTGCGCCGATTTGCCGCGGCAGTGGTGGCAGTGGAGCCACTCCATCGCCGCGCCAAGTTTTCCTATCCATCTAAACGACGGGCTGGGCTCGGAGGCGAAGCGGCGACGCGGCGACGCGCGGGGCAAAACAATCGACGGCAAGTCGTCATCGCCGCCCACGCCGAAAGGGCGCTCCGCAGGGCCGCAGGGCCGGCGCGCCGCAGCCAGCGCGGCGGCGAGGGCGTGATTGGGCGAAGACGTCACGTGCCGCGTCCCCGGGGGCCGAAGGGCCGAGGGGGCCCCGCCGGGGGCGCTGCGGCTGACAGGGCCCGGACCTGCGAGGCACTACCGGGCACTGCGGCGCGCTGCGACGCGCTGCGCCGGGGGACTGCAAAGGGAGGGGCGCCTAAGCTGTTGCGCCGCTGTCTCCACGTGCGACGTGTGTCTCCAGAGCCCCGGCCGGCCAGGTCCGGCCAGGTCCGGCCAGGTCCAGCCAAGGTCCCTCCTCGCACGCCAACAAGGATTGCAAGTCCCGGACACTGCGGGGGTCACTGGGGCGTGGGGAGTTGGCCGAAGGGGACTCGGCCTGCTTGTTTCGCGCACTTCTTCTGCGCCACCCGGGAGCAGAAGGCATCAACAAAATAGAGGACGGGACTGCGCGCCTTTACAAAGGACTCCCCCTCCTCCTTCTACTTTTGTGAGCGGACTGACTACAACCACGGACTTGCTCTATCCATAGTGAGGTTTAACCTCGGGTCTAACCTTTAAGCTGAAAACGAAGATTGAGATTCATGGAACTCGAAAACAAGTGCTCCGTGGGTGCCGGGCGACGCGGTGGGGGGCCGCGCGCGGCCGGGCCCCACCGGGGGTAGCTCCGGACGGCGCGACAGCCAGCCGACGAAACACGCGCCAACACTGCTGGGGCGGGAACAAACTTTCCCCGCAGTTGTCGCGAAGCGAGAACAGAACGATGGACGCGTCATTTAGACTCGTCCGCTTCCCCATTGTTTACGGCCCTTCGCGTTCACCTCCCGCGGGGCGGGGTGGGGCGGGGGCATCAAGTTTGGGCCACCCGGCTGTGAATGTGTGTCCGTGCACGTCTCCGCCTGTGAAAGCGACTCTGTATGAGTGAGCTGAAGTTGTCTAGCGCACTACGACCATATTAGCCAGGGCTCCGGACGGGTGTCATCACTCAAAACTCCCGACGGATAGGATGTTTCCTTTTGGTATATCTCAATTACGGTTCCTCAAAATTGTGGCACCTTACTGATACCTGGTACCCGTTTCACAGTGTGGCTGTCGAGTGCGCGGCGAGCTCTGCCGACGTCAGCGCCGGAGTCCCGTCTCGTGCCGCCAACTCTGAACTCGGCAAACTCGACGTCCTGTAATTTGGAGCCCCTCAGCAGTCTCTTGTGCCGAGGCCGTCCAGTCCATCATCGTCATTGCGGCGGTGGGTTTATCGTTTGTCCACCACTTTTCCGAGAATTCGACTGGGAGTACACAGTCTGGACCGCCTTTACTTGACGACTACAGAACCTCCGCACGGTTGAGTTCATATGGAACGAGTGCGGACGTCTTCCATGCTTTTGCTCTATTCCTCTGAGCATTTTCCGTACCAAAAGTAAGCAGTTTTTGACAGTGTGGGGTCAAAAACGCAGCCGAGCAGTGCGTGGCGGATGGCGATTCGTCAGCGCGAGATCCAATTTAATTGTCATCTGTCCCCATTAGGGGGCGGTCCGCCTGACACTCCGCGCCACCGCGAGGCTGGCCGTCAGAGAGACGGTGGTGGCGCTAGCCTCGGCGCTGGCGCCAGAGCCCTTAGTGGTAATGGCAATGAGGAGGTGAGCGCCTGCGAGGTAGGCCGCGCGGCCGCTCCGGAGCGCGGCGGGACTGCCTACCCTGGCACTCGCAGGCGTTGGAGCGCCTTGCTAGTAGGCCACAAGGCCGCGCCGGTGCGCGGCGGGATTGCCTACCCTGGTACCATTACCATTAAGGGCTAGACCACACATGATCGTATGCCATTTCTAGGTGCTCGCAGGCGCTCCGGTCGTGAGGGCATGGCGAGGGGCCCGACCCTGCCGATGACGAACGCGGACGGGCTTTGATTATGGCGGCAACTAAGCAGACAGACAGACAGACAGACAGACAGACAGACAGACAGACAGACAGACAAGCAGACAGACCGACAGACAAGCAGACAGACTGACAGACAAGCAGGCAGACAGGCAGACAGACAGACAGACAAGTAGACAGACAGATATACGCGACTGGGGGGCGCATGGTGTGGCCGCATGCCTTGGCCACGGCGGCTACTCGGCAAGCGGACGGCAGTAGTCGGAACCGGCGCTCAGTGCAGGAGTCTCATACGTAAAGAGAATTCGGAGAGAGTATTTTGAGTCGCAAGAGTTGCATGACGGTCTTGAGCGCGACCAGGGTGTTTGCGTAGGACGGCTTTGGCATGGCTTTGCCACGCCACGCTCTCCCCGCCACGGCGCGCCAGTGGCGCCACGGCCCGCCGCCCTCTTCAAAGCTTAGGGAACAGCGGGGAGCGTAAGTAAGTGAAAGAGGAGTCCCAGCTGCCCGGAGCCAACTTGCTGGAATTCCTCCTTCGGGATAAAATCCCCCCCCCCCCTAGCGCGGCCCGACATTTGTTTAATTGGCGTTTTCGAAGAATTAGCATCGTTTAAAACTGCGGAGGCTGATGGCGCGAGGAATGTTGTTGATGCGAAATTCCGGTGCCAAAGTTTGCTTTTTGTTCCGAACTCAGCGCACCGCTTGGCTCACCTCGGCCCGAAGCGACGCATAGTGCCGTCATTGGGTCGTTTAGTAAAGCCGTTTCTTACTAATTTACTTGCATTAGTCTAAGTAAATTTACCTGAAATTACTTGAATTTGTGACTTTTTTCGGGTGATATGCGCTTCTTTCGCTTTGTGCATTCATTCTGTGGTGTATCCTATACCAAAATATTTTTAAATATTACATACTTATTTTGTCATTTGAACACGGCTTTTTAAAATAAGGGAAAGTTCAGTTGAATTTTGGTTGGATACGGATTGACCTTTTCACTCTGGAGAACAAAAGTAATCAAAACACCACGAACTAGAAGCAAGCGTGCCACCTAGCGGCCGCTGCTTTGAACTTCGTTGAGCAGGGTTTGGCTTTCGACAGTTCACAGTACTGGCAGCCAGGTAGCGCGCTACTGGTTCCGGGCTTTCTGATTACTTTTTGTTCTCCGCTCGACAAGTAAAAGGGTCTATTGTGTGCGTGTTACTCGGCCTGGCGGGACCGGGGGGGGGGGGGATACCCATACCAAGCCGGTTGGGGTGTCGACTTCCTTCCCGAAGGGTGGGCGCGCCTGCCTACATTTGAAAAGAACTGCACACATGCCCGCGCGCACACACACAGACACACACACACACACACACACACACCCACACGCGCTTTGGCTACCCTGCGCGAAAAGTGACAGGAAAAACTCGTGCGAAACTTGGTGGGCGTGTGTCCGTGTGACGTGGGGGAACTGCCAAGCGAGCGTGATCGCCGCGTCTGAATGCCTCATCAGCCGAAAAGTCGAGTCGGACGCGTGCTTCGGCGCGCGATCCGCCAATCCGGGCAACTTCGGCAGTGGGCGCGGCAAATGCTAACCAGGCGCGCACTCACTCACTCATGGAATAAATTAGGACGGGAAAAAGGTTGAACGCTGCACTCTAAAAAGTCGAACGAACAAAATGACGTCATTGTAGAGTTGCTTCGTATTATGAAGAAAAATGATTCACAGTGCGAAGGATTTTGCGTCTGCGAGGCATTTCTTCTTAAATTTTACTCACGATAACGATGCTTCGTTGACTTTATCCTTTACGTCGAGCACGCCATGGAGCGCGGCTCTCCGAGCAGGTCGGACTCTTGAAAGGCGAGGCATCCACGCCTATGCGGCCGAAAGGCCGAAGCAGAGGCGCCCTCGCAGCGGAAACGATCTCTGGCAAGGTGCACTGTGAAATCGAGTTCCCAGCCGGAGAATTACGCCTTCATACGTTCCCGACCACGCCAGGCATCAGCCCTTGCGGGAAACGGAGGAGTATGACGTCATTTATCCATCTGTGCGTGAATCATGTCACGCTCCTCGTGACGGTGCCACACGGGCAAGGGCTGGTGCCCGGTGCTGGACTCACCTCGACTGTGACTCGTGACACGACACCCCATCGCTCGTGCATTTCGTCCGATCAGTCGCCACTCGCGATCCCAGCGCCGAGACGCGGCCGGCACGGCAACCACAGGGTGGCGAAAAGTGTTGGCGGAGCGAGGGGCGTGGGTTGGGCGAGGGGTGAGGAGTGGCACGTGGCAGCGGTCCAGACAAAGCGTCAAAGCGCATTCTCCCTGGCAGCCCTGGCAGCCCTGGCAGCCAGACTCCACTATTCCGCCGCGGAAGTCAAGTAGCGCCGTCAAGGCCAAGGCAGCCTCGCGATGCGCCTTGCTTTTGTTGGTGTACTGTTGTTGTTGTTACGTGAGAGTCCGCGGCAAGCGTGAAGGCAAAAAGTTCGGTCGCAGCTCGCCTTACCGCATGCAGCGAGAATGCAGTTACACTGTACGCGATCCCTTTGGGTGTTGCGGCTGCGGCCGAGGAACAATTATAACTGCTGTTCTTAACATTTTTCAACTTCAAACAAAATGATTGTTTTTAGGTATTTGCATGGGACCTCTGGTCGAACATTGGCAGAGTCCATTTTCCAGCAGGGCTTTCCGACCAATGCCTTTTTCCGTCTTGCAGGCGTTGCCGACACACCTCGCCATGTGGCGGCTGGCGCTCCTGGTCACAGCTTTCGTTGCTCACCAGCAGGGCTTCTGCGTTGCTTCCGACGAGAGCGCCCCCGCACACAGCACCGAGGACCTGAACCACCAGCTCGTGAGTACTCGCTTGGCGCCGTCCTGGAGCCCTTTGCCGCATTTTGCGCCGAACCGCCACGCCGCATCACCGCGCCGTGGCCAGGCCGTGGCCAGCAGTAGCGCTAATGCGACGGCTGCTATTGTGGCGGGTGTCCCGGGGGATGGGCCCGCCCCCGACCGCCCCCGCCTGACCCATCCCCTCGCTCCACCCCCGCTCCATGACGCGGGGTGCGGAGATGATCCCCGAGACGTTGGAGGCCGCGGCCGTAACCCGAGGACACGCGCGCCGGCGCGGCACGAGCCCCGCGCGGAGATGGCCGCCATGGCCGGGCTAAACATGCCATTTTTGCAGGTTGTGAATACGCGCTTATTAAAAAACGGCGCACGCGCGTCGTATCAAAGCGGCGGGAAGGAGCAGCGGTGTGGACCTTTCGGCCTGGTCGAGAGAGAAAGATAGGGGGGAAGGAGGAGAAGAAAAGGCAAAGACTCCTCTGCTGTCACTAGCTTGACTCCGTTCTGCAGCAGCGGTGCCAAGAACGTCTCGGACGATCATTTTATACGACGGAACTGTTGCATGATAATCACTGTGGCCCGCCCCAGCCCCAACCCCCACCCCCACATTCCCCCACCCCTGCCTCGCGGCCGCGGCCCGCAAGACCAGCGGTCTGCTCACATCATAACAACCGTTACAGAAATAATGACGACATAAAAATGCAAAGTGGAGCGGATTTACAGCTGACGACGCCCCGATGCCCCACCGCCATTTGGCATTTGGCCTCGCGGTGGTCAGTGGGGGAAAAGGAGGGGGGGGGGCACCGCCACCGACTCCGGGCGGGACGCATTCGCAAGCGCGCTGTACCCCTCTGTCCATTCCATTGAAACGGAATTCGGACATGTCCACCGGTTGGTCCAAACGTTGCAGACTGCCTGACTGCGTGTACAGCATGCTTGCGCAACAGTCTCTAAATCGGCGCCCTTCCGCGCCAGTCTGCACTGTGTGCGTACACTTGGCAACGCAGACAAGTTGACGAAACTGCTCGAAAAGCGGTCGCCGCGGCTTCTACCGTCTGATACTGACAGGCGTCTTTTTTTCTCAGACTCGAATTACTCCGAGCTGGCTCAAAAACGTTCAGGCCGATGCACCGCTCGGCTGGGATGGAAGGCATGGAGGGCAGGGAATGGGATTGCCCACTCCCCCAGATACACCACAGCTCCGTTGCCATGGCGGCCGGTTTATTATTACCATCACGATGACCACCATCATCGCCGCCACCGGCCGCCACCCCTCCGGGCCCTCCGCCTCCGCGCGTGATCCCTGCCGCCCCGCCGCGCCGCCCTGGTCGTTCCACCTCCTCAAGGGTCGCCCGCTGCGGAAATGTTACAATGTCGAAGCAATAAGCGGGATTAAAAAGCCCGGCGTAACAGATGCTGCACTTTTGCTCCTCTCGTCCGAGGGGACGTCGCTGTGCCGGCGGTGCCACGTCGGGGCTGGAGGCGCTGGAGGCCATGTGTTTGGACGGAGACGCCAACTGCGCTAAAGAGTCGTGTTCGTGTGTTGCAGGGACAGATCGCAGACATCGACGAGGACAAGCGGACATGGAACCAGTTCCAGAGCGGCTGGGGCAAGCGTTCCTGGGATGCGATGGGCGGCGGCTGGGGCAAGCGGGCCTGGGACAACATGCCCACTGGTGGCTGGGGCAAGCGGGCCTGGGACAACATGGCAACAGGTGGTGGCTGGGGCAAACGGGCCTGGGACAACATGCAGACAGGTGGTGGCTGGGGCAAGCGAGCCTGGGACAACATGCCCACTGGTGGCTGGGGCAAGCGGGCATGGGACAACATGGCAACTGGTGGTGGCTGGGGCAAACGGGCCTGGAACACGATGGGGGGCGGCTGGGGCAAGCGGGCCTGGGACAACATGCAGACCGGTGGTTGGGGAAAACGAGCCTGGAACAATATGGCGACCGGTGGCTGGGGGAAGCGGTCAATCGCGGACGATAACAACAACGACGTCTACGACAAGCGGGCCTGGGACAACATGCAGACTGGTGGATGGGGAAAGCGGGCCTGGGACAACATGCAGAGTGGTGGCGGTTGGGGCAAACGCGCTTGGGACAACATGCAGACTGGTGGTGGCTGGGGCAAGCGGGCCTGGGACAACATGCAGACGGGCGGTTGGGGAAAACGGGCTTGGGACAACATGCAGAGTGGTGGCGGTTGGGGCAAACGAGCTTGGGACAATATGCAGAGCGGTGGTGGCTGGGGCAAACGGGCTTGGGACAATATGGCCATGGGTGGCTGGGGCAAGCGGGCCTGGGACAACATGCAGACTGGCGGATGGGGCAAGCGAGACGGCCTGCACAACGACAGCGAGGAGGAGCCGGAGACCGGGGAGGCCGTGGAGGCCGTGGAAGAGGAGCGCCAGCCCGAGGAAGGGGAAGAAGTGCAGAGCGTCGGCAAGCGCCCGTCGGACTGGAGCAGCTTGCGAGGTAAGTTGCCCCGGTTCCAACTCGGGATGCATGACGACGCGCAGGCCAAGGCCGCCAAGGCCGCGGCCGCCGAGGCTGGCCGTGAGGCAAGGCTTCCCTGTTTCTGTGAATCGGACTCACCATCTGCAGGTGCTGACCGGGCGGAGGGGCCGCAGGGGCCCCCGGCCGCCAGTCACCCCGGCCCGGCCCCGGCCCCGGGGCCCAAGGGAGCCGTTAGTGGCGACCAGGGACCCCGGGGGGCGCAGGGGCGGGCTCAGGGGCAGGGGGTGGCGGGGGACTCCCAGTAGACAACGCACCAGGTTTGTTCGGCTCGCTCGCAGAGGCAGAGGCATGCGACTGCTTTCCTGCATGCGGCCTGGCCTGCGTGACCATTGCTGTAGGCCTCTAATGCCATCGGTCGCATTCACTTTTCAATGACAGCTTTTTTATGAAAAAAAATTAAGAACATTTGTAAATACTTTGGATGGCATGCCACGCGATAGCAAGGTGCTGAGGCTCAGAGTGATTTTTCTTGTAAAAAAGTATAAACACCTTGTCGGGCCCAACAAAATGGTGTGCAACGTGAGCAGTCACGCAGTAACGCCGTCAAGGTTGGTCAGTTCGGACATAATTGCAGTAAAAACGACCCAAAATTTAACCCCCTTGCCCAGAGAATTGTTAAAAAAAGAATGTCCGAAATTACGAACATTGACTGCAATTTGTGCTTGATGTAATTGTGTGTATAATAACATCAACAGAATATGCTACAGTTTTATCCATTGGTTGCCCAAAATCCATTCTTTATAAACAGATTCGTCACAAAAAGAAGAGCCCGTAAGATTTTTTTTAAATAACGCATATAAGTAAGCAATTGTCCGAGGTCTAAAGAGATAAATGTGATCATATTTGGGCTAAGATTTGAATTGTGTACAACCTCCTCCACAGTGAATAGACTTTACTCTTTGCCCTAACTTTTAAAGGTCCAAACAACCGTGATATAAAATGCCCTGAAGCAACGGTTGTTTGAATTGGCCTCCTTCTTCAATCGGCCACTCTAAACATTCACTTAAACTTACGTACAAGCATAGACTAATCCAAAATGTAAATAATGAAGCCCACAGCCTTTGTAAAGTTGCCTGTACTCTTCTAAGGGCATGAGGAATGTGTTCTGCTTCTTACGTGTGTGGTTTGGTCTTGGTCTGGTCGCTCGCCCAGGAGGGCCCTCGTCCAAAGCCTGCCCAGGGGGATACCTAAGTAACGCTCAGTGCGTCTACTACACCAACGGAGCCAGCCTGGCAGGTAGGCCGCGACACTTTCCAATTACTCATCCACCTTGCCCCGGCCTCTGCTGAATCGGACTCAGCCTCTGCCGGGGTGAAGCGAGCCCTAGCTCGCGGTCCCCGGAGGATGCCGTGGCACCAATAGGCAGCGGGCCGCGCCGGGCTTGGCTTCAAGGACGGCAGAAACGCGGTTACGCCCTGCTTCGGTTGCCAAAATCAAGTTTACTTTCTCCCCCATCCCCTCAATCTGTAAACTGGAAAATGTCTACATGGCTCGTCACCCACCGAGAGAATAGTGCTTTGGCTCAGCTTTAAGTCCCTTTTCCAATTTAAATACCGAATTTTGATTTGTTTGATATCAACACACGTGCCTATTGCTTCAAGAAAAAAAGTTTTGTTTCTCAAATTAATCAGAGTTACTGAACGTCACGATCTCTGGGTGCGGCCAAGTACGCATTTTTCTGAAGTTGCCTGGAAACAAAAATGCCTCTAATATTGTGTGGCTAGCTTAGCCCATCTTGCTCACTAAATTGCAAAAATGCAGTCTGCGTCCTGCTTAACGGCTGGCACGTTGGCTCAAGCCGGCTAAACAATCTGGGCGGTCGCTGTAAATAAAGCATCTGTCCTCGTTTTCTTGCTGGAGCCTCAACATCGTAACCACTTTTATTTTTGCGTGCGTCAGTCGACTGATTCACATCCAGCAACAAACTAATTTTTCACTTTTGCTAAAAAAACAAGAGCGCACTGTACATGAGCTGCTTGTCGGAGAGAGCATGTATCATGCAGCATGTTCTCGGGATAAGCAGTAGTGTGCTTGCAGGTTCCTGGGGCAAGAGAGAAAACTGGAGGAAACTAAAGGGCCTGTGGGGCTAACGGTCTAGGCGACCGAACCGCTCCCGGACCTGTGGCGGTGAGTTGCCATGACAACGTGTCCATTAGTTACGTAATGCGGAAGCATAGATCATGTCCATGTCGGGGCATCTCAAGGGTTGATTTTTGAAACCCACTGGCAGCCGACACCCTTTGGAAACAGAAAGTCATGGTGAGGCCCATGTGGTGTCGATTTGACCCAACTTCGCGCGAGCCCCGGTCTATTCAAGGACAAAATGTCCCCACCATGACGTCCTGTTCTCCCTAGGCTGGTGGCACCCTCTTAATTCGGTTGGCTAACAAACAAGACAATGTTGTGCCGCTTTGGTTGAATTTTCACCAAATTAATAAGTCTTCTCTGAGGGCATAATCCCGAGGCCGAGTCAGATAGTGCATGTTGACGTGACTGACGGAAGGTTTCAACCCTATAGTGAATTAGAACACGTTTTGGCTGAAGTTAAGGACGCCAGCACACACGGGTGTGATTAACTTTTCTCGCATGTGGCATGGACTATTGCGCTTGTAATTGCTTGCCCATGATTCGCTGCTGTTTCAAATAGCTGGAGATGAATTTCTGCAAGCTTTGCTTTTAGTTTTCATTGAATAATCGGGTTAAATATTACACTAATAATTGTCACCCTTCTTACACCTGCAATTAGTGTTCGATGTTTAGCTCCTAGCACGACGTTTATTCAAATAAAAAAAACAACGCGGACATTCTAGGATGTGATACTGAACACATTGTTTGCGTTCCCTTATCGACATGGAAGGGATGGATCCCTGATCACCCTCCATAGAGAGAAGGAAATGGAAACTGGCCGATCAGTGTTGTCAATCCTGCGGTAGAAAATTTGTTTGCTAGTTGGCGGAGGAGGAATAGTAAAATGCTGGCTGATTGAGCAAGGAAATGTTTTCCGAGCCACAGTAAACTGTCCGTCAGAACGGCAAACATTTTTATCGCGCGCTGGAATGTCCGTTTATTCGTTGTTTTTTCCCCTTAACTCTTACAGTGCGATGGCGTCACCAGAACCCTTTGTTGCAGGTGACGGGGGCCACTGAGGAGGCGCGGACAGCCCGTGCCCCAGCCGGGAGGTCTCCGCCGACTCCGCGGCCACGTGACGCCTTCCCGGGAGCCCTGGTGTAGAGGGGGTAGTGGCGGGGCCTCCGCCAGCCCATGGAGGCCCCGACGCAGCCCCACAGCCCGCAGCCGCACCCAGTCCGCACCCAGCGCACCGGCCGGCCTGCAGCCTGACGGCCTCCATGGCCTGACGGCCCCCAGCCCGACGGCGCCGCTCCACCTTTAGTTGCCTCCATCTCGGCCTTCTCGCCACCTCGACGTGCCCCTTCAGCTTCAGCCGGCCTCAGCCTTCCTTCTGGGATAGTTTCTGTTTTCACGAGATAGCGTGTTATATTCTTTCCTTCTCGTTTAAGTTTGCAATTCTTTTTTTCAAAAAGCCAATCATTTCAAAGTAATAATAATTTCATCCTTGGGAACTAGGAGGCAAAATGCAATCCAAGGTGCTTGGCTACGGAGACTCTGTTAGGACTTGTTCTCAGTAGTGTGTGATACTTCGGCGCTCGACGCTCTCGCCGTATCTCCTCTCCCTCTCTTCTGAAATTATGAATGATTGCTTCTCAGCCTTGACGCCTCGAGATTGAGCCACGCCTCTGGGGAAGTCGACCCCACGTTGGTTTCGTTTATGGCGCCTAAACCGAATACTAGAAGCGGGCGAGAGCTCTTGGCCCGTGGCTATAGCTCTTGGCCGGTGCTTCCGCGAAAAGGCCGGAAGGCCAGAAGGGCCTTGGCCAGCCTTGGCGCGGGATTGGCTCGGGGCTGCCGCGCTGTCGGACACGGGACTCGATTAGCCGAGCGGAGCGGAGCGCGTCACGCCACGGCCATACCCCTCGCAGCGCAGCGCGCGCGGAGTATCCACACTTCAAGGAACCGCCCTTGGATTGGAACTCTATTCTGTCTGACCCTCTCACTGCTCTCAACATTAGGAACTGCTCCAGTCACCAGGATCGGATCTACCCCTCCTCAGGCTTTCTGATTTTGTAATCACTATTATTTGGTGACCCTTTCCTCTGTTAAATAACATGTTTCTAAAAACAATTTGCCCCTCTTATTTGAGTGAATCGACCATTGTGGCTGGATTGCACCTAAATATTCGCCCACTAATTTGTTCGTTTTTAATGTTATTTTAATTCAGGTTTATTCTGCTGTGGACCCAGGCAAGAACAAATCTGAGTTAAAATGCGGTACTGTAGTTGATATCTTCCTGCTGTGTTTGTTACTGTGTACCTATGAACAATCTAGTTCAAGAGGATTATCTCTATAATAATAATAAGTTAAGCAAGTATTAGCACCACTTAATATTCTGACTATCAAGTTCAGGTACGGAAGAAGTGCAGGGCTTCTTCCCTGTTACAGTATCAATGCTTTATCCATGTACTCAGCTTAATAAAATAAAGAATGCAGGACTCTATAAAAAGTATTGTAAATATGTTAAGCAAAGAAAAAATACTCATGTCGTTTTTTTTCTTGGTTGTGAGTGTATAATATCTTTCAAAAATAATAAGGAAAGAAATATTTTTCTTCAATGAAACTATTCTCATAAGGAAATTAATTTGATTTTGATTTTACAGTGCCCAGTAGGTCACGATCTCAAATAAATGTTTAAAAAAAATTTAAATTCCAACTATTTGTTACAGTGGGCTGGTCGTTATTAAAGATTTTAGCTATCATCAATTACAATAATGTGAAAGTTTTAAAAAAAAGAAAGAAAAGAATGTTCCTTAATTTCACATTTAGGAATAAATTACCTAAGAAAGAATAAGAAACAACAAGTCATTTACTGCACAAGTCACAATTTATTACGAAACTTGACAATCTTTCCAGTTAATTCTTTTCATAGTTCAAAGTTAAAATTGGAAACCCCAACAATTCACTACTTTATTTATCAATTATACAAAAATACACGTAAATCAACTAACGCACAGAGACATACCTGCCTCTAGGAGTGCAACCATGACAGGATAAACAGGATGAAATTCGGCATGACCTAATTGACGCACTGACTGCTGATACCGCTGCAGGGAACCCCCAACAAGTTGAAGGCGATCACGTTCGGCAGGGTGAGAATCCAACCACTGAGACAAACGGCTGACAGACCAACCAGCGCTCTACCAAGGAGCAATGAGAATAGAAAAATTAAATACACATTAATCTTTTACCCAATTTTTGTTTAAATTTGAAAACCTTACCTGATGAGGTGACAAAAGTTCTGGAGGAGCTTGTGAGAACAAGGCTGTTAGAACAAGGCTGTGCGGGAGAGCAGTGCCAACTGCAGGGCTGGCAGCGACTTCAGAGGCAGGCAAACCAATGAGGGTCTTCAAAGACCGCAAGGTACGAAGAGACTTGCCCCATCCCAAGTCAGCTGGAGGTTGTCGTCCAGCCAATGGTTGTAATGCTAACTCCAGCTGCAGAAACAAACAGAAAAGCTTGATTCATGGGCAAATGCAATGTAACAAAAAATGAAAACAATTAAATAATATTCTGAACCTTCTCAAAGTCAGAAGACAATTTTAAAATGCCACCTTTTCCTAAGGGCCTTATCAAAGAAGCCAATCGCAAGAAAAGGTCAATGCACCGAGTTGCCACAATCACAGAACTAGAAAAGTATACAGATAAAGAATAAAACATTACTATGAGTTCAATTTTCAACCATAAAGAAATGAAATCAGAAATTTTCTCACCTTTTTACGACAAGTGCTTGGTCATCAAATGGTGACAGATAGAGGTTAATAGCTCTTCCAATGAAGGTTTGCAGTTCCTTCATGTAAAGACTGTTAGTGCTTCCGCCCTCATCTATAGAATAATCCTCGTCATGCATTGTCAGTAGGATTGCTTCCACAGCATCTCCAACAGATGCCAGTAGTGGTGTGAGTATGTGATTGGTGACCAATTTGTCCACTCCACTTAGGGAATCTCGAACAACAGATGCTGGGCCTGCTGCCAGTGTTGCTCCCATATTATTAAGAACTCTTTCAAGTTTCCCAGCTAGATAGTGCAAGATATTTGCCACTGCCGCATTCAGAGACTGAGCCTGGCTTGGAATGTCTGAAAAAGGAAATGAGGTTTGTGTCACAGTTAAAATTCCTTATTTTGCAGAGCTCACAGCTACTTGAGGCTAGGTAACTACAGGAAAAAAGCTGACCTATAACTTGAGTGGCATCTCCCCCAGTAGCAATGAGCTGTTCGCATTTTATGCAGAACAGGCGGACTGCCTTGCCAATATTTTTAGATACAGTCTTGCTTAGTGTTTCATCAACAAGTGACACACTTAATTCACTAAAACAAAAAGTTACAAATTGTAATAAAACAAAAGAGGATTGAAAACGAAGAGAGAAAAGTCTCACTTGCCTTGTGATTGTACGAACTAGCCCGTCCACATTTTCGTGAGTTGGGGCCTTTGTTTCAGAAAACATCAAATCAACTGGATCTAACAATCTTGAAACGGAACGGGATAGATAGGCATTTTCAAACTGAGCAATGAGTTCACGTCTGAAATGTTGAAGGAAGAAAGAAGTGTAAGATAATTGTCAAATGAATAGACTGATAAACACAAACAACTTACTCTAATTGATAGGGTTGTTTGCCACCTTCTGGTGTGAAATCACTAGAGCTAGTTTCCATAAGTGCCTTATTATGAGCAGCAGTAAGTCTTTTACTGAGGTCAACATAGAGCCTGAGAAGCTTTGGAAACTCTCCCTCAAGAGCTTGCTTCATGTAAGTAGAACCTGATAACATTATCAAAAATCCAAAAAAATTCAAAGTAAAAAGCTAAATGGACAGGTCAAAGAAATTCACATTATGCACTTACTTTGAGCACTGGATATGAGTTCCTGGGATAAAAGTTTTAGCACCCTCGACCAGAAAATTTCAGTCATGTCTTTGTGTTCATCAGGAATTGCAAGTCTACTGCCCAATTCTGAAGACTGAGCAAGGAGCACTGCATGCAGGACTTCAACCTGAAACACAGGCAATGTGATAACAAAACATGAAAACACAGTGAAAACGTTGTCAAGAACATCAAAACATTACATTGTGCACATTTACCTGGCTGCACCGGGTGTATATTGATAGCTCAAAAAGATTTTCAAGAGCCGCCCACAGTTTTGATCTAAAGGAAGATATATTTCCCAATGAAGGCATGACCACTCTCCCTGGAGCGCCTTAAAAGAAATAATGATTCACACTTTATAAACAAAGTTCAAAAGGAAATAAGAATTTATAGAGCTTTGAGATTTAAACTTCAAAATAATCACCTCTATTTTTGGAAGTTTCACTTGAAGCTGCTACCTGAGTAAGAGTTTGAATATCCAAAGCTTCTAAAATGGCTTTTGAAAGAGTGGATATAGATGTATCTAATGCCTGTGTGAGTTCAACATTTAGTGTTCCAAGATTACTAAACACTAAAACTGCAGTAGTAACCTGAGACAAGAAACAAAGGCATCTTTTACATTTAATTTAGTTACAGATAGGGGTAGTAAATAAATAGTAAAGCTCACTTTCTGATGATTCAGTGACTCCAAACCAGCCTTCAACATTGATTGTGCTTGTTTATGAACACTGGTGCGGTGATTTTCAACTGCTGCTTGGTCTGATGCCAATATTTCAAGACCAGAAAGATCCACATCTTCAGACAATTGATCTATAATAGAAAAGGGAATTTTGAACATGCATGAGAAATCAAGAAAAAGTTGAGATAGCTAAATTTATCGAATGTTACCTATCTCATTGAGAAGAGCAGCAGCCTTGACTTGATCCTGACAACTTTGGAGTTTTTTTGATAGCTGTTGAAGACGGGCTATTCGTCTTAGGAGGTCAGATGTTTCATGGAGACGAGAAAGCACCAAGGTGTGGGACTCCATTCGATGAAATGGTTCCATAATTCTAGCTCTCAATCTTTCTACACCGGAGAGGACGCACTATAATGAATACAGAAAATGTTAGGGACCAGGACCTTCACAGAATAAAATTTTCAAAGAGATGAATTATAAGAATAATGCGTCCCATATCACTACATACTTGAGTTTGAGAATGCATCCCGGCTAGCAGGGTCTGAAGACGCTCAACCCATGTGGCTTGAGAAACAAGGTCATCATGGTTTTCAAGGACCTGTTTGTGAAGTTCACTGTCTAAGATGTGAATTCCTGAACACAAATGGGCCATTTCATGAATAACAGTGTTCCTTGACAAAGCAATTTCTCATGTAGAAGAAAATAGACTTACCTTCAGTTAGCTTTGCTAGCTGCTCAGAAACAGCGAGAGTTTGGGAAACAGCGCTTGTAGTAACATCCTGATTCTCTCTCTCCTTGAGAAAGTGACGATAAAATTCTGAGACAAATTAGTATCATCATTAACTTCTAACAATTGGAACAGGAAATTATTTTTTTAGAATTCAAATACCACTATTTATTTGCTAAACAGTGGTACAGTATTTGAGTATTCAGAACAATATTAATAAAAATGACAATATAACAAATGGTGTTTAGGTTAAGTCCAATGTAAACAACAATTTGAGGAGCCTTACCATCTTCCTCGATCTCCTTCCACTGCTCGATAAGTTTCGAAGACATCTTTTAACACTCCAAATTCCATTAAATTTTCAAATCACTCACGTCATCGACAATTATCAATCCATGTTGCTAATCTCGCCGTCCGCCGTCTGCTGCAAGTGTCAAACGTCAACACTCTGATTCACTTGTCAAAATCCATTACCACCAACCTCTGAAACAAACTCCCTGTTTTGAAAGGTCGCTATTCTGTTACTATCCCGGATCTTAAATGGATCATGACTCAAAAAACAAATATTGAATAGGTTTCTTGAACTACTGCAATTAAATGTCGCTGATAGTTCGGATGTTCTGGACGTTGAACGATCTGGCTGTTGGTAGAAGACGTCAAACGTTTCGCAGTTTGAGGGAAGGCGCAGGCCGAGCAGGAGGCGTTCCACTCATTCACTTGGAGTTCTTTCATTGAACCCTTTGCCAACTCTTCGTTCTACAAACATCGATCTACAAAATGGTTAGTGCTTATGTAATTTTTTCTGTTCGTCATTTTTACGATCAAATGTCAAATGTAACAGCCTTGCACCTTACCTGTGATTTCTTGACGAATTCGAAGGGGGCGAATGGACATTTGACATTGGTTTAGGTTATGATTCGCAGGTTACAGGAAAGAATTTAGTCTTTTTTACTCACATCTTTCGAGACTCTTGTCATTTCAAGTCGTGACAGTGGTTCCCCGCTTGTTTTTCGCTCTAAATGTCTCCACTCTTTGCATTTGATGAGATGGCTGAACTACCTTAGCACTTTGTTTCTTACATTGGGTTTGACATTTTGTACTCTATTTTAATCCTCCCTCTGGCCTCTGTCTCAACTTCAACGTCATTTTTTTTTTGGTGTTTGTCTTTTCCAGATTCGTTTCATTCTCATTCAAAACAGAGCTGGCAAGACTCGATTGGCGAAGTGGTACATGAACTTTGATGATGACGAGAAGCAGAAGCTTATCGAAGAGGTGCATGCAGTTGTCACAGTCAGAGATGCAAAACATACCAATTTCGTTGAGGTAATTTGAAATTAGAAGACATTGTTACATCACTGCTGTCTAATGATCTCAAGTGCTTTCAATAATCATTAACATTTTTACATGTCACATCAATTTCATGCTTCTTTCTTCTTGCAGTTCCGCAACTTCAAGATAGTGTACAGGAGGTACGCAGGTCTATACTTCTGCATTTGTGTTGACGTAAATGATAATAATTTATGTTACCTGGAAGCAATCCACAATTTTGTGGAGGTTCTGAATGAATACTTCCACAACGTCTGTGAGCTTGACCTTGTTTTTAACTTCTATAAGGTGAGCAATGTTCCATGTAATGTTCCATGTAGTTTGTCACTTTTTGCATGATTGATTCGCATTCTTTGCATCATCTTGCTTATCATTGTTTCAAATTTTTGTTCCAGGTTTACACAGTGGTTGATGAGATGTTTCTGGCTGGAGAGATCAGAGAAACCAGTCAAACAAAAGTTTTAAAACAGCTGCTAATGTTAAATTCATTAGAATAAATCTCACAAATTAAAGCATTAATTATTAATATAAGTGCAATATTCTGAAAAATGCCATATCCAAACCAAAATTATTTTTGATCTGCATTGTATGTAACTGTACTTCACTCATGTTTGAATGGCCATTTTAGCTTCGTCAGTTATGTCATAGTTACTTGTATGTGTGTGAATCCAAGCGAGTATGATCACAATCATTTCAAAAGAAAGTAGGTGCTTTTCACGAGTTAAAATAAATATTATATGGATCTACTATGTGTGAATATTAATCTTCATGCTGCTTTTGTTATGGATTTTGAAATGATCCTTGTTATATATTATCTTTCCTTCTTTAGCATTCCATATTTTTAGGATGTTAGGAAATTTTCTTGAAATTTGTTAATGTTCATTACAGTGACCATTTTCATGTATTTCTCAAATGTCATTATTTTAAAAGTGTTCAAGTACTCTGTGCTTTGAAATGTGTTTATGCACAGTGTTTCCAGTGATTCATATACTTTTTGAATGAATGTGTTCTTTTTTTTTTTTTTTTTTTTTTTTGTTAGTGCCTGATGTAAACAGAAGTATTCTCCTGCTCTCATGCTGCTATTGTAATCGAGTTGTTGGAGGGAATTGTTATTTAATTGAGTGTAAATATACAAAAAAATATAAGCGTTAAATTGTATTTCATTTCTTAAAAAATGGAAAAGGCCCCTGGAATGTTGATTTAATGCAAGGTTACCTCTTCAATTATTACTCAAAATTGAGTTTATTGGTCCAGCCATAGGATCAAAACAACAAGAAGAAGAAGAAGGCTCGAACATAATTTGACCGTCGTGGGGGCTTCATGGATCATCGCCCCCAGACTTCCCTGTGTGATGTCTACACATCAGAGCAGTAGGCTTTTAACAGAAAAAAGGAAGTTTCATTAAGGTCAAAGAAAAAGACCCGAATTTGAAATAATATTTTAATGGATTGAGCTTGTAAGGTATTGTGCGAAAAAATGACTCAGAGCTGGTGCTGTAGACGATGAGCTGTTTTCCCGACGCCCATTTTGGTCTGTTACACATCCAGCTCACCCTCTCCTCTCGGCGGTGAAATCATGGTCGAGCCCTACTCAAAGGATGTGCTCTGCTTTGACCTTTGTCCAGAGCACCACGCCGGGGAGGTAGACCACCCTCTTGGCACGTCACGTAGACGACATCGGCATTCCGAGTGGGTATCGAACATCGAACCCAGACCATCCTCGCAAGGCGTGACGAGTCGAACCCAGGTCCCGCTCGAAAATCGCATACGATTATGTGTGGTACAGCATTTAATGGTAATGGTGCGCCGCCAAGCAGAGAGGCTCGTTTGGCTGCCTACCCATCAGGCGCGGACAGACAACACCTGCGCGACGCCGACGACGAGTTTTTCTTCCACTTTGGAGCGTGCTGTCCGCATCGTATCCCAGTGACTGACTCCCAGTCCCGGGGGCCGTGGTCTCCGCTCCTGCTTGTTAGCGAGGCGCGTCCTTAGAAGAAGAGTCCTCGAAATGACCAGCGCTGCGGGAGGGGGCAGGGCAGGCTTGGGGTCACGGCCTGGCCATCCCGTCGGGACTAGAGTCGACGGGACGGCTGGATGGCGGCGGCGCGGTGGCCACCGGCTAGTCCGGTCACACACCTGCAGGAGGCTCACTCCGAACAGCGCTTCGGTCGCTCTGTCTCTTTCGCACTCAAGTGGCGTCCCCGTAGTTGTGCGAGGGAGACAGCGGCGGGACGAGCCAAGCTTGGCGCGGTCTCATGGTCCGGCCGAGCCTGGCCGAGCCTGGCTGAGCAGTCCGCGGGTCACGCCAGCATTTCATCTTCCGGCCGCACCCCGCCCAGTCCGGGGAGTCCCGGCAGGCCGGGGCGGAGAGATTCTGCGAGTGCCGCTGCCGCGCTGCCGCTCCACACGGCGCGCACCTTGTATAGGCGGCACAGTCACGGAGTCCGCCCGAGTCCGACGGAGCCGCAGAGCGGCATGCAGTGCCATAGAGCTGACCAGTCTGGCTGCAGCCTGCAGCTGGACAGTGGGGCACGGGGACGGCCCGGACGGCCATCATGGGCACGCAGCATGCAGCATGCACTGCGCGGGGCGGGATCGCACCCGGACGCACACCTGAGCCTTGCCGCCGCCCCGTGCGAACGCAGCGAACGCACGTGTGGCGACCTGCCGGCCTGGCGGCCCAGAGAATAAACAACGTGGAGCAGGGGAAGGGAATGCATCCCGGCGGCCAGCACACTGCATCCGAAGCAGCGTTCTCTCTGTCACACTCACGGGGGCACTCCGTTGCGGCCCGCACGCGAGAGACAGAGCGACCAAACGATTCTGTCCGGAATCGCTCGGCAGCACGGATCCCCGAATTAATCGGCCAATTAATCCGAAGGGAATTTGAGTTCGCCCGATGATGACTTGTCGGGGCGCCGCGTCCGCTACACTGGCCGACTGGCCGGTGGATTCCACGCGCCGACCCGACCCGAGACCCGACCCCACTCGGTGAGGTGGCGGCGCGATGTCACGCCACACCCCAAGCGGAACAATTGACCAGCACTCTGCATTATTGTTTTTGCAAGTTACTTTGCTTCTTGGAGCGTTCCCTTCCTCTGGGATTATAATTTTAATTGCCCTTCCGGCATTAGCAATGCATATCGCACCAAGTGCAGCAGGACGGGGAAGTCCGCGCGCGGCCCTGCCTGCCCCGCACCGCCCGCACCACGTACCGCGCACCGCGAGGGGGCTCTCGGCCCTCTAGGCGTGGCTAGGCGTGGCTAGGCGTGGCTGGGCGTGGCCGGCCGCGCAAGGCGAAGGCAGGCACCGTGCAGGCCGTGCAGGCCGTGCAGTGCAGGCACCGAGCCTTACCAGTGTGCCTCTTCGTAATGAGAATGTCAGAAGTGCGTTTGTGCGCATCGCACGCGCGAGTGCGCATCATTTCAAACACTGTACTGACTGGGTTGCCAATTCTGGACACAAACAGTCGCAAGTCAAAGACCGTACTGAGGCGAGACTTTCATGTGAGACCGAAAATCGGCAAGACTTTTTGTCTCGTCACCTTTGGCACATAGTCTTTCCATTTTTCGGTGCTTTCATCTAGTTGCTCGAGGCGTGTTGGCGTTTTTCCGGGGCTTCAGCAGCAGACTTCTAGCAGCCCCCTCCACTGCTTGTGTTTGCATCCGTATCGAATTGGAACATGACGATTACGTAGGTTGCAATAGAACCAATCATCTTCGAAGAAAAGCGAAAACAAGTTAAAGATTCCGTGGTTACATTTTCTACCACAACAGCCTCTTCGACATTTGCCGCTCACCGCCTTCATCGTGGCGAAGTCGAAGTACAGCAGGTCGTAGACCCCACAGCGACAGTCCTGGGTCCGGACCTGGTAGCTGAAAGCCAGCACCTGCCCGAGAGCACCAGACGTGTCAAAAAGTTTTCCCGCCGAAACCGGCGCAGTATCGCTACGTACCTCTCTCTTCGTTCTGTTGGGAAGGGAAGAGCTGCTCTCCAGGAACGCGTCGAGAGTGTTGGACATCCTCAAATGCTGAAAAACGCACGACGCATGTTTCTTCTCTTTAGCCAGCAAGCTGAGTCACATTCATTGTAAAACAGTGCTGTTACTGACATTCTTACACAACTGCTGGCCCAGGACGCAGCTGCAGGTGAACTTTAGAAGTTGGACGGAGGCCCAGACGGCGTTGCAGGCGCTGACCATGGCGCTGCTACCAGGGGCCTCTCGAAAGCCCAGATTGCTCTGTAGTCTTGAGATGCTGGAGAAGAAGCAGACGGCGATCTCGATGGAGGTGGCGAGCAGGCAGCACAGGCCGGCCCCGCCGTACGCCTGGTTGCTGGCCCGCACCGCGTCCTGCAGGGCCTGCTGCCGCGTCCGCAGCGCCCGCAGCTGCAGCGCCGCGTCCAGGTCGCCCTGGGGACTCTGGCCGCCTCGCCTGGCCACGGCGCGGACCTGGTCCTCCAGGTCGTCGGCGACGTCCTCGCCCAGGAACACGCAGGCGGCGAGCACGGCGACGAACGCGCTCTCCGTCAGCATGACGCTGATGGCCGGGTGGAGGTCGGCCATGCTGGAGCGCCAGCTCAGACCCTGCATGCGCGTTGTGCCACGCCTTAGACGGAGAAGTGTGGAGTTCTCCACCCTTGGTTTGACGGTGCACCTACCGACAGGCTGTTGACAGCGAAGCCGAGGGCCGGGAGCACCAAGGAACTCGCCAAGAACGCCGTCAGCACCAGGGTCATGCCGCGCGACGAGCGGAGGGACGGCGCGCACCACGACGAGTAGCTCACCAGGCACTGCACCAAGGAGGCCAGCTCCGCGCGCCGTTGGATCAGCGTCATCTTGCCGGGAACTCAAAAACAATGACCAAGGCGCTTGCCAAGGACTGCAAAGGCCGAGGGGGAACAGCTTCCCACATTCATTGTACAAAATTTGACCACGTTCTACATTCCACATTCAGAGGGCAAAACTGCCTGAAAGAAGGCAACATGTGTGGCAAAAACGTCAGAAATCTTGCACATTCTTGCACATTCACGGATTGTACACAAAATTTTACAGTGGGTCACCCCTCGGCAAAGGCATCCTCGGCGAGTAAAACGGTCGCACCCACAATTGTATACAAGACAGGGCACAGCGTTTGAATGCAACGTCGCGCCTTTGAGGCCGCACAGAAAAAGTCTTCCTAATAAACGAAGAAAACGATGGCAGTGAAAAATCTACGGAGATATGCTTCGTATTATGAGGCATTTTCCTACGCAATACGAAGCATCTTCATTGTAGGAAGAATTCTAGTGCAATGCCTTGATTTTCTTTGTAGTTATACATCTGCTTCGTCGACTTTCAATGCCTCATCAGCATCGGTACTCGCTCCAAACAGGGTGGAAGTTCAAATATACAACCTGCAGGACTAGGGTGATTAAGTTCTTGCTCAGGACGAAAGACGCAAACACTTCGACCATGTAGGAGCTGTCGGTGAACCCGGCGATTTCCGAGCGGAAAGCGGGGAGGGTCCAGGCCTTGAAGCCGACGAGCAGTATCAAGACGGCGACACAGTAGCGCGTGCAAGGCCGCGTGGGCCTCGGCGGCCACCCCGCCGCGCAGTGCTGCCCCGCGACGAGCATCAGACCCAGCGTGCAGCGCCACTGCAGCGAGCACAGCCTGGCCCAGGACCAGCCGTCCCCAGCCATCGGCAAGGCAGTGCCTTGGGGTGGGCAGGGCTGAAGCGGCCTCGGCAACCAGGCTGGCAGCGGTCTGGGCTGAACCGGCGGAATTTCTGTCTACAGTCTTCCGGGTCTTCGGCGGACTCTTGGTCGATGCCCCCTCGCCTCGCCCAAGTCCCGGAGCTCACTGCCGGCTGGGGGTTGGTAGACAAAGTTCGACCCCCCCATATTGACCGTGACTGCCGGCGCGTGCACGGTCAAGTCCCCGTGTGCCACGTTGTGAAGCGTCGGCAAGACGCGGCCTTACCGGGCTCGGCCTGCACTGCCACCGCCGAGGGCGCGGCCACATAATGCCGTTTCTTTACAGGATAAGAAGGAAAGAAACTACGCGAGATTTTTCACTGGGCATAACTTGGCTCCGCCACTGTCGCATGGCGAAGGCGGCCTCGCATTTTGTGCTGAGTGGCGGCTGGCGCACCCTTGAGGCCCTAG